TTTTTTTCCAAATTAACCAAAATTTTCGTTTCATCGTAAATAGTGTTGTTCATAAGAAACAAAAAGTTTATACAATGCAACCATATCAAGATTCTTATGGTGGTGGTGGGGGTGGTGGATATGATATGGGTAGCTATGGTGGTGGTGGTGGCGGCGGCGGTGATTCTTATGGAGGTGGAGATAATGGTGGCAGTTATAGTGGTGGTGGCGGCGGCGGCGGAGGTGGATATTAACAATAATGAAGAAGAAAAAGTAAAAGATTTTCATTTCGAAACTTTTTTATCATCAAAAAATTATATTTTTTTCATCTACTTAGTCGTTTTTTTCAATCAATTCATCAAATCAAATCTGCTCTCATCAATCTTGTTATCTCAAATTTTTTTTTATTTTGCTCCCCAAAATCAATCAATCAATCAAAACAAACAACAATCACCATCATCCGATATTTTCGAACGCACAAAACAAAACATTCGATTTCTTATTCCGTTTCATTTTTATTGTTGGTTATGTGTTCGATTCTAAGTAAGATTCTCTTTTTTTGTAGTTTTTTTTTCATCGTCATCATTTCCAAACAATATAGATCCTCAAGATATTCAATTCAATTCATACCATTTGTTATTGTAGTATTTCTATTCATATTATAGTCAAAATTACCATTTNTTTCAAAATTTTTATTTTATTGAAAAAAAATTGAAATTTCAAAAAAAAACGCGCGAAAATTTATTTCATTAATGGTTGTTAATAAAAATTTTCAATTTTTCTTTCTGATAAATTTTGTTTTCAATTTTGATTTAATCTGGACATTATTTTAGCCATAAAATACACGTTTTTTTTTGTTTTGTTTTGTTTGAGTGATCAATAAAATGATGGTTTGTTTATATTTACTTGACCATTGGTTTTCTTTATGTTTACATGATATTTGAAACGATTGAAATTTTTTTTGAATTTCTTTGTTCGGGTTATTTGTATGTGACACATATGTTTTGTGTTAGCAGTTTTAGCGCGCTTTCTTTGTTTTGGTTGTAATTTCTGTCAACAATTTTGGTTCGCTTCTGAATTACTTTTTTGCAACAAATGTTGGTGTCATCAATGACAATCGATCATTTGCTTATCATCGTTTAGCATTCGAACTTGTTTCTTCTTTGTTTTAAATTTAAAAAAAAATTGAAATTTCGAAGTTGTTTCTGATCCTTTTTTTTTTAAAAAAAAAACAAATAAAATTCGGTTTTCTGAATAAAATGGATTTTTTTCATCAAATTCATCATCAACATCATCATCGATTGATAATAATCAAATCGATCAGGAAAAAATTATGTCAACTTTATCGATAATATTAATACGATTAGATCATTAAAAAATTGAAAAAAAAACATTCATTCATGTCAGATTGAAGAAAAAGTAAAAAAAATTAAAAACATGT